ATTAGTAAATAAACTGGTGAATAAATAAATGCGATAGAGAGATTGATGCACGATTGAGCGAACAGGATAGGAATGAAAGTACAAAACAAACAGACAGGTGCGTGCAAAAAATATGAATAAATATAAGTATAAATTACATAAAAAAGCGACGAGCAGCAAGTTAGAAGGAGGGCGCTGACTTCGAAAGACGAACCGATGCAAGTCGTTATCACTGAAGAACCTATACAAGTTGTTATCACTGATGCCATAACTCATACTCAGAAATAAGATTTAATCGGGAATCTGTGTGATTACAATCAGAGTTTTACTACAGTTGCTTTGTACCTCAACAAAGTTTCATCTGATTTTCATTTGTTGTGTGTTGTTTTAACTAAAATTAAACCACACCGAGATTGATTGGATAATTTGATTGACCAGAATATGTAGAAAGTTCATTGAACTGCATGTTTTTATCTTTGAAGTCGTTCAACTAAGAGATCATGAATTTGCTTGACGGCAGCGTTTTTTTTCGTAGAATTAATTGAATAACTAATAAATGTTAATACAAACTTTTTTTAAATAAATCATCTCCTGAGCAAATTTCAATTTTTTCCTGTTTTTTTTTTAATCAAACAAGTTTCTTTTAATTTTTCTCGAATTTAATGAACAAAAATATCATTTGTGTGGTAAAATGTTAACGTCTATTTTTAGTTTAAATTAGAGTTAATTCATAATCGATGCGTAATACAAGAAATAACTATAAAAATATCCTTTTTCTAGTGCAATTGAAATTAAACGTAAAAAAATCCAATCCAACATTTGATCTAATTATTACATTAAGAATTCTTTGCCAATTGTTCATTGTTTTTTCATAAGTTATTTGTTTTTGCTTAAAGAGCAAATTTCCCATTTAAGGATAGTCTCAACCCTAGAGAGATAATTGATAATGCTAATCTTCTTTATAGCGATGTTTTCAAAGCAGCAGACGTTTGAAGATGTTGCTTAAATAGATAGATAACACATTTATGAAGAGGGTTTTACTCGTTTTTTATTCTGTTTTTATTACTGTCAGGTGCCTCATAAAAAGTTCAATTCAAGAGTGCAATGCTTTCGGAGAGATTTAGTGAGATTCATTAAGATGAACAACATTGTGGAGATAGTGATATATCCGCCGTTCACTTCCTTCTCATTTGTTCTTTCTGAAAATTATGCTGAGCATTGATTTAAAAAAAAGATTTAAGTTTTTGAGGTTGTTGACCTCACAAAATTTCAAAGCGAGTCTGTTTGTTTACGTTAATAATCCGCTCATTCTTTCTTGCCTAATATTTGTTGTATTAAACAGTTTTTGACAAGAGAAAAAACAACAACTATGTCGATGGAATTTTGAAAAAAATGACATTTAAACAAAAATTAGAAAAAAATAGTTTCACGCACCATCTACTCTGGCACGTATGGGTGGTATCCAGAGTGCCTTCATTCCACTCTTGGATACGTCAGCAATGACCGCCACGCTTCGTGATGAACGATGAACCACAGAAAGAAAATTTTATTCCCACTCAACTTGAATGTGGTTCGTTTTTTGACGCTTCAAACGTTTCAGTTTTGCCATTTTACAAATGTTTGTTTGCCTAAATCGAGAATCGTCACGTTTTAACTACTGAGCAATAGGTGAAACATTAACAGAAATAAAACTCATTCTTATTTTAAACTCGATTCACGTCAATTTAAAAAATTTTTCAATCTGAAGTATGAATGTTGTGTTAAAACTCAATTTGAAGGTAAAACATAGCAACTGATGAAAAACAATATATAGACACACACACAAATATATATAGATGGTGGGTGAGAAAGAGAAAAAGAGAGAGAGGGTGAGAAAAAGAAAGAGGATATATCTGATAATTTATTTTTGTTTATACGATCGTGAAAAATAAACAACGCTATTAATCTAATTTTTCATAGACAAAAAATATTGTGTTGATTACCAACAAGTTTAAAATGCTAAGAGTTCACTTTATAAGGTACGTTTGCCTAAAGATTTTCAATAGAATCTCAGAATATCGAGATAATTTTGTGTATTTGTGTGTGTGTTTGTTTTGTATTTGTGAGTGTGTGTCTGCGTGTTTCTATACTTTAAGACAATGATGTAGAAGAACCGTGAACACAAATGAACATGCGTAAGAACACTTTATTTATATGTTTGAATAATTTATACATTTTTAAAAATTTGTTAATTAAATCTTCTTCCATCTTTCTGTTGAAATTTTTGTTTTTTGCAGTTATCCCGTGCAAGACCAACAAGTATTGTTTTTGTAATTATATTATCAGTTATGAAAAAACCAGCGACGGAGTCGGAGATTTTTGCCGGAATCGGAATTTTTTGACGGACCGCAGTTTTTATTTCAGTGGAAATTTAAAGAGGATCTACTTTTGTCGACGTTTGAAGTAAAACTTTTCTAGTTAAATTACGTAACGTTGTGCACGTAAGACAACTTCAAAGGAGGTTTATTAGTAGAATGAATGTGTCTGTTGTATTTTCTAATTTAAAAAGTTTTCAGCACAAAGTACCATGCAAACATGAAACACTCAAATTAAAATGTTGCCTTGAATCTGCATGCCTCTTTGGTTTAGTTGAAATGCTTGGCGAACTAGGTCATGAATACGTTAAGAATACTCTGGAATATTTTATGTTATTTGAAAAACGTGTTTATTTTCAAGAGACAAGGTCACCGGGTCACGAAATTTAAATCACGTGACTGAAAATAAACATAAAAACCTATCTTGTTCTTTAGTAGGGTTTTTCTCTTGAGTGAAGTTAACGCATGAAAGTTAGCTTCGGTATAGAGTTATTAAACATTATACATTTAGATCCACTTTGTAAATGTACATTGTACAATTTGCGTATGATGTGGTATTTTATACATTATAACGTTGTGGTATTTTAGAGTACCTGGTGGTATCAAAGTTGTCGCGCAGCTGTTTGAATGACGTGTCGAACGATGTTGCAATGAATACGACCAACATCTCATCGATCATTTAAATTTTAAAGCGTATGAATGAACGCTGTTGGTTTGAATGTATCGCTTCTCAGTAGCTCCCAGCTAATTCTTCATTCATTGCTTCGCCGCTTTTTATGCTTTTCAGTCATTAAGTTTTGAAATACTCTTGAAACTCATCCGATTGATCAACCTTTAAAGTTTTTATGATTTCAAAGGTTATTTAACTTTATTATTAAACAGATTAATTAACTTCATTTAAACGAGCAAAACGTTCGCATTTTTTTCTGCATTTCACTTCAAAATTGAAACTCAGAAAGCCGCAAGTTGCATGCGTACATCACATCTTTATTTACAACATTGTATAACGTTCATCAAATTTATAACGTTCACCAAGTTTATAATGTTAACAAAGTTTATAGCGTTAACACATGTTGAAACTTCCCCGATAAACTTAACTTAAAAACTATTTGATTCGACTTGTTTGTTGTTATGCACATTTTTACGAGCCATGTTTACTGCGCAGTCTTCATGGTGTGTGTATGTTATTCAGCATAACGGCATTGACATCTCACGCTATTGGCCAAAAACTCGATTGCAGTACCGTCAGTCGTTGAAATGATTAGAAGTAGGTTAGCGAACGTTGTTCGTTTATATTTATAAACAGGCATACTGATAATCGTACAGAGTTCTAATAACACATACAACTAAATTAGATACATACCGCCTTCTATTTAATATGTTTACCAGACTGATGAAGAAAAAATGAAATTTTTAATGAATTTTTAATCTTGAGTTTCCATTTGAATTCTCTGGGAAGTGTTATCGCGCCATACATTTGGTACCTTTGTATGCTGACCCCTACAAACAAAAAAGTTGTGATAGAAATAAACAGAATGCATTTTTAAATCATCGAACATCCAGTCGGCAACCATCATTAAGAAAACGACGAACCTTTACGAACATCATTTAATTAAACAAACAAAATGTCTGCCCAAAAACATTCTACACCATGCTAACGCGCATATTCGCTGCTCAAACAGACTAACGCGCGCATGCGCGTAAACAATAATAAAACGAGCAGCATAAGAATAAGGTTACTGTGCCATTACACACGCATGTACAATATATATTCACATATAATTATACAATGAATGTAAAATATTATGTTTATATTATTATGATTGTACAACTCATTGAATTATATATATATATATATATATATGTATATATATATAATATTTATGTACGTGTATGGGATGCGCTCGTATGATGACGCGAAATGGTATAAGCAGTGTTACATACACACAAGCGTTGAGAAGTGTATATAACGGAGAAACATTGGTGGATGCTGAGTAGATAGTTTCTCGACTCGTCGGTTCTTGTTCGTTCGTTATAACATTCGTAGATAATTAGAATAATAAGATTGGTCTATGTTTATCAGTACATTGAATTATTAAATATTTTCTCGTAGTATTTGCTTATTTTCTGTTTCAATTAAAATAACTATCAGACTATGTAGTTTTGATTTAATTTGTTTAATTAAGAAGAGTAACCGAGTGACCGTTCCAACAAACAACTAGGTTAGTTTTCTACATTTCTACATTTCTACTAAAATTCAGCGAAAACACTCGATCACACGCGAATGTTTTAATTAAAGAGACTGCAGCCTCTAGGGTCCTGCCACTTGAAAATTCATTTAAATGCAACTTAATTTGCTATTTTACTTGATTGTTTTTCGCAGTTTCCAGCGTCCGCGTGTATACCGCTATAATATTAACGTTGAAATTGAAACTAGGACGAGTATTGTATGCTGATGGTGGGTGATACTTACCCCTTCCTTTTCTACCTCTTCCTTTCCTGCCTAAACTATACTTTTAATTTAAAGGTAGATGATACAATTCGCAAAGCTCGTTTTTTTTAATTACTACTTTAAATAAGACAAACCGGGTAATTACTTTCAATTTTAATTTATTACTGTTCTTTGCATTGAATTTTTTACTAGTATTTTTATTAACTTTTTTTGCTGGAAGTCTTTTTCAAAAGCCGTAAGCGAAAATAAAAATAATAGTTAATAACGCTCATTAAAAATGGTGATAAAAGTTTATTTTGTTTTCAATTCTTTAAAAGTTTTTTAACTCTATTTATTCAAACTTTATTAAATTAGTCGTATTACTATTATTATTTAATTATTATTATTATTAAATATTAGGTTGTGCATTAAGAATTTTAAAAAAAATTAAGATTTTTATTTATAAGCTTTTTAAATAGTTAAAAATCTAGCTAGTGAGTGAATAAATCAGGGTTTCGATTTAGTTAGGTATCCACACCCTGATCCTCTAAAACCTAAGTATTTAAATTAAATTATATTAATTTTATAATCGTTATTCAAATTTTTTTCTAGTCTAAGACAAGTGTTATAAATAGAAAAATTAAAAGTACTATAAATCAAAATTTTTTATGATGTAAATTTATATATAATATAGAATGGTTTTTAATATAATTTTAACAATTGGGTCTTAATTTTAAATTTAATTAACCAATAATTTGTTGATAATTCTTAACAACATTATAAAAAGTTTTCTCTGAGCAAATTTTATCAATAATATTACCACACATTATTATTTACTTGAATGTTGAACTTTCTTTCATTACTAGAGATTTTAAAAATCTTTTATTTGTAATAATATTTTATGGAATTTGAAGACAGTTAGCTATTAATAAATAATTATCTTTGATATGCCTCTCTTGCTTGTATTTATGATTTTTATTTACACAAATTAAATAAATAATGAAACCTGCATTTACTTATTTGCAAGCATTTCTATGCCTCTAATTTTATTTTATTAATGAATCTTATAGTAAAAGTGAATTGTTGAAATAGCGAAAAATGTCACTAAATTTGAAATAATTTTTGATGTTTAATTGTTTTAATTTTGACTAGTGTTTTTAAAGAAGCAAGTGTTTTATATCAAATGTGAACTTAGCAACAACCGACTTGTTTTTATTCTCATCCTAATCTGTTTGGCTTAGCTGCTGCTAATAATTCTACATTAAATTAAATAGAATGTAATCTTTGTACTTATTATAATTAGTTTAAAAAGCTCATTCAATTAGTAGACACTTGAGCTTTATAACTTTATTATTATTTCATAAATATTTCAAATTTATGGAACTGTGGTGAAGAATTTTATCAAAAAGTTTTAGTTTTTTCTGTGCAAGTTTATCAAATACCAAAAAATATTTCAAAGTTCAATACAATTAAATTAAATTCAGTAAGTGAATTTTATAAGATGGTTTCTACTCTATGCTGTTGTTAGATCATAGCAAATATTTTGTTTTGTATAATTATTTTCAAATTATTGTTTTATTACATTCACATCATAGTGACATTCAATAATTAATTTAACTTTTTCTTTTTACTTGCAGGCTAGAATCAAAAAGTATTGGAAAATGGAAACAACAAATGTTAACGAAAAATCAATTGTACAGATAATGCATGCAATAAAAAACTTTATAAGAAATTATAAAACACATCATTCAAAGCTTGAAAAAAATGAAAGTATTTTTTCTGAAGACAGCTTTGTAGAGATGGACAGTGGTGGAGTTCAATTGTTTGATGATGATGCACTGTCCCTCACAGAGTCATCAAAAGTTTGCAATTGTAACAAATCAGTTGAAAAAAATTCTGGCTTTCAAAGTTTACCATTTGAATGCAAGTTTAAAGTATTTTCCTACCTGAACCCTGTTGATCGGGCCTCATGTGAAAGAGTTTGCACAGATTGGAGGGAAGTCATCACAAGTAGAACACTTTGGAGTGAAGTTCACTTTTCATCATTATTCACAACTTCGTTATTAGAAAACAAATCAAGAGCACACTCCGATGCAGAATTAATGACACATTCAGATAATGAATCTTCAGAAGGTTCAGTTTTGCAAAAATTGAACTTTGAGCGAAAAAAAATGGAGTTAGAATTTAATTATGAAGTTTACAAATCGAGGATTGTCTCATTCGTAAATTATTTGAAAGTTTTAAAGCCATGTTTGAAGGCATTAAGTTTTTCTTTTGACATTGGTGATTCAAAAGATAATTGGGGAAACTTAATAAAAGGATTAATTGATTTTTCTGAGGTGAAAAATTTAAGAAAAGCTTCATTAAATTGGAAAGAGACACCTGCAAAACCGTTTATTTTGCAAGATGGCAGTAACACTTGGTCAAACAGCAATTATTCTGATCTCATTTACAAGCATAGACGTCGTCAGAGGTCATTCATTTCGTTTTTTGATCACTTCACATCAAAAGTTTCAAATTTAGAATACCTGTCGATGCCTTTTGACTGGTCTGTTTCTTCTGTGTCGTCTCTGTGCAAATTGGGACATTCCCTTAAAGAACTTGTCTTAGAAGAGTACTTTGTACCTCAACAGTGTGTCCAAAATCTGCTAAATCAATTATTATCAAGTTTAATCAATTTAGAAAAACTCACTCTCAGTCTAGTCCTGGGAAGTGGTCCTGGTGTGATATTCTATGAACTAAGTTCCCAGTCTTTGAAATATCTTGACATTTCTAGGTGCCAAGGTTTATCTCTAATCAAAGTAAACATGCCTAATTTGGAGGAGTTATATATGAACAATCAATTCTTCCACTGTCAATCGCATACAGGCTCAGAAGGCAACTTATTTACTGAACAAAGACGCGTGCAGCCACTTACTAAGTCGTTATCTTCAGCACCGTCGTCGTCAACAAGTGCAGCACCACCAAGACCACCTCTGAGATCTCATTCATCATCACCAACACTGCCTCCACTATCGTCATCACTACCAGACGGCATGGAGTCGCCGTGTTTGTTCTCATTCCCTGCCCTCCAGTCATCTCAGACATCCTCACCTACGAGGCGTCGTCACAGCGACCAACCACAATTGTTGCCGTTGTCAACATCATCGTCGTCGTCGTCATCATCAACTCCCTGTTTGTATAAAGTGCTGTTGAAAGGTGCTCCAAATTTGAAAAAGCTGAACACTTATTTAATGAAGTATAATGAAGATGATTATGAAGATGGTACCTCCCATTGTTACAACAGCAGTTTGAACTCAGTCCTTCAAGAAACCTGTACTTGCCTTCTGCATTCTAAGCCTATATGTTGATCTGATACAAAAACTAACTATTTTTGTTCTCATAAGCGTTTTTCAATGCAAATTAAAACATTTTTTACGTTTATAATAATGTAATTTCAATGTATTTTATAAAGGCATTACAACTCAGAAAATTTAGTTTACTTGTATTTAGGTACAAAACGTGTACGCGCATACATGTATGTGTTAGGTATGTACATGCAGCTAGCATGTGTATGCGCAAATATGCACACACACGTTTGTATATATATATATATAAACAAAAAGCATTTTTAATGTCAGTCTTTTTTACCTATGTGTGGTATGCCGTGTGATGTTAAATTGAGAAAATTTCAGCTTTTTAAAGATGCAATTTAGTTTTTCGTGATTTTATTTGACATTGAAACCTGGTTCGATATGAATGTCAAAGACTGTTTCAAAAATTTTTGGTATTACCAAATGGAATGTTTTAAAAAAATGTTCTGTGATACGACTGTTTTTTTTAATTTCCACCACATGCAATTCATGAAGTTTAGATGCTGCTTGTGGATGTTGCGTATGTATATGAGAAATTATTGCATGTCATTGTTTTTCCAGGTGACTATGTATTGACTCAAAAATTTGTGAAAACATTTGCTGTACATCAGTTACGTTTACTCTCCAGCAACTAATATATATATATATATATATATATATATATATATACGTGTGATTTACGTATATTTATGTGTAGTATATATATATATATATATATATATATATATATATATATATCTTTGTAAAAATCAGTTGGCCACAATTTAACTTTTTATATGGTTGAAAGTACATCGATGAATGATAACATTTTCTCTTTATGAATTTATTATTTATTTTTTATTATTGATTCTTTATATAAAAAAATGCATTCCCACACTTTAAGTCTTCAGTGTCTGGCACAATTCAAACATTAACTTTCAAAAAAATTATTCTAAAAACAATTAAACTAATGCCGGCTAAGTGTTTGGATAAGCCATGTTACTTTATTTGTGCTTATGTAATATTTTAAACTTGAAAAGCTATTTATTGAACATCAGCTTTTCTATATTGACGGTGTTAGGAATATTATAAAATAGGTTTTCGATTTTCCAAAGTTAATGTCAGTTACAACGTGAGGCATTTATATCTTGGTAAAGAATTTTAATTCGATTAACAAACAGAAAAGAATTATATATTTAGAATTATATAGAATAATATAGATTGAAATGGTATCTTTATATAAACCATATATATATAAAATAATTATTGAAACGTTTCATAATTTTAGTTTAAAATTGGTTATCATCCGCACGTTATTGGCTACGTTTAAAGGGTTGGGCCAAAGCTCCTTGGGCAATTGCTTCGTTTAGGGCTTCAGTGGTTTTTTCTTCAATATTCTCTATTTGAGCGCTCCTCAGGCTGTTACTAAATATCGATTTATATTTGAAATCGTTGAAATCCATTTCTGAATTATTTTGTAATTTAAGAAAATATGCATCTAAAGAAAGTGATCCTAAACTCTTTTCCTTATCATTGTCGAATGCATCACTTTTGTTTCTTAGAGAAGTTCTTACGGATTCGTTAGAGGTTGAAGTCAATTTATTTTCCGTTTTTTCTGGTAATAAGTTATCACTGAGTCTTTGTATCCGGTATGGGTTTGAGTAAGAGGATTTACTCATACTTTTTGCGCTATCCTTGTCACTATCTTTATTTTGGTTGCCAACTTGTTCATCTTCAGTGACTTCATCTGACAATGTTTTGACAGAACCTTTCATTTTCGATATACCAACACGTTTTTTTTCAAGAGAACTATACTTTTTCTCACTGGACCGCATACTGCTCCCTTGGTCCTTATCATATTTTGCCGAAGCTCTGCTTGGAATGAAAATTTCTGGTATGTCTTTTTGCTCGATTTTAGAGTAATTATTTTCATTTTCTCTATTATCATTTTTTTCGTCAAACGCTTCGTAATGTGCATGATCTGCAAATGGTTCATCGATTAAATTTTCTTCGTCTTGTTCAGGAACTGGTGTCAAAAGGCTCGAAATCTTATCGATTTCTTTTAGTTGGTTTCCAGAATTTTTGTCATCTGTCCATGAATTTTTGGAACCAAAATTATTTGAGTCCTTTTTTGATACAACCAGACTTCTGTCAGTTTCCATATTAGGTTGTATCTCACCTGATCTTGCCACTTTAGTTGTGGGTTCAGAATGGTCTGATTCATTTAATGGAATGCCATCATTTTTTGGTTGAGCGGTAAGATATTCATCTGATACTTTTGGTTTTTCGTTTTTTGACACACGTTCCAAATATTGTTCGTTTTTTAATGAAAAATAAGTATCTTTTGATATTATAGAGTTGGGTGATTTGATGGAGAATTCTTTTTTATTTCCCAACGCTGGTTCAATTTTGCTTTTTCCTGAGAGTCGATCAGAATTTTCAAGGAAGGGTTTGCTTTCTGTATCATCTGACTTTTTTGCTTTTTTACTCATGTTTTTTAAATCAATCTTTGTTTCTCCCATTTGATTTGAAATAGATGAATATATTGATCTAGTTTCGTCTTTTGCAAGAACGCCTTTCCTGGAAGCAGATGATTTTTGAAAATTTTTTAAATTGCTATCCTTTCGCTCGTCAGGAGAATCGTCAAAATCTCTGGTTTTATTAGGATCTTGACGGATTAGTGCAATAGCTGGTAATTGTTGAGTTTGAATTTTTTTCTGTAACGATTTCCGTATTTCAGAGAATATTAAATCAAGACTTTTCTCATTCATTTTAGATACATCTCGGACATCTTTGTATTGTGATGATATCCTTTTTTCAACTTCTCCGTCTGAGGCAACGTTGGTGTATTGAGTTTCTTTGCTTTCTTTTTTAGTTTTATTATCTTTATTTTTATTTTGTGTATTATCTTCCCTGCTGCCTTTTTCTTCGTTCATTTCATTTTCATATTTCTGTTTAAAGTTCATTTTTTCTTTCTCTTGTTCTTGGGATGTTTTTAATTTTTCTGGATTAACTTCTTTCAGGCTTACACATTCACTATGCGTTTTATTCAATGTGTTAGTTGTAAGTTTTAACAAACTATTTATCTGCATCATGGTTAATTGCTGAAGTTGATTTTGAATTTGAAGTTGTTGCGCCAATTGTTGAGATTGTAACAAACGTTGTTCATTATCTTCACTTTGATTTTGAGGTTGGGGTTGTTGTAATTGTTGAAAATGTTGATCATTATTTTTACATTGTTGTTTGTCAGGTTTCATAAACTTTTCGTCATCTTCAAATGTCGAGATTTGTCGTTCGGCGAGAGAACTTTCATTATATTCCTTACTCTCTTTCAAATGTTGTTTCTCGCTAGAACGTTGGCTATTTTTTAAATTATTAGCCGAGGAACGTTTTACTTTTTGGCTCCTTTGCGACACTTTATTGTGCTCTTCTTTTTTTACACTATTAGTCAAACTATTGGGTCTAGTTTGAACAGCCAAATTTTTATTTGTTTCTTCAATTTGATCCGGAGTTTGTTCAACAGTTTTGTCATCGCCATTTTTTGAAAATATGTCTTCGTTGACCTTTTTGCAACATTTGCATATCAATTTCCAAATAATATCTAAAGTATGATTGCTTGTCGAATCAGAAGAATATGTGCTAGTTTCAATATCGCTGTTATTGCGAGTAGGATTTGAAGGTTTCTTTCGTTCCTTCATTTTGTTTGATATTGGTAACTCATTTTTATTTTGAGCAAACTTTTCAAATTTTTTATTTAAAGAATTTTTTCTGAAATATTTTGGTTTGTTTTCATGTTTTGAATCTTTATTTGTTTTGTTTATTTCATTTTTCGTACTTGGATAACTTTGAAGTAGATTTTCAGAAAATAACGCTAATAATTTAATAAATAAGTTACACAATGCACCAAACAGCATGTAGAAACAAAATATCAAATCAGAAAGCGATGAAACATTGCAAGGAGCACTTTCAGTCAAGCCTTCGTGTTTTCTCAATTCATTTTTTTTATTTTTCATAAATGAAAGGCGTTTATGTCTGTGTCGAAGACCATCGACTGTCAAACTTTGGTTCAAATCATTGTCACGTGCCTGATTTTTCTCTGAAATGTCTTCTGCTAATTCACTTTCACTCTCGTAAGGTGATGACAATTTTTTGAGAGATTCCAGTAGTTTAGGCAACTCTTTTGTTGTTGAGAGTTCTTTTGAGTTTTTTTTTCTTTGATTTTGAAGCTTTTTTAGCCGCAATAATTTTTTACATTTTGAATTTTGATTGATCGAATTTAATTTTTGTTGCTTAATCACACATTTATCAACAACATCGTCCATTGAAACATTGACCTTATTTTCTTGTTTTCCAGCTATAATGTTGCAACTTGTTTGACAACATTCATCAACTTTTATTGATTGCTTTATTATTGTTTCACTTTGAACTATTTGTCTGTTCTCTAAAATTGGCACTGTTTGGGTTTCACCACTTTTAGCGACGGATGCTACTTGATCATTATGCACGCTGCTAATTTCTTTTTTAGACTGTGAGTTGGGCTCGTTATTGCAATCTCGTTCTTTTCTCTTTTGTTTTTTCTTCCTTTTTTTGACAACTATTTTGTTGGAGTCTTTTTCGCTGCTACTATCACTATTACTGCAAACTTCAGATTGCTTGTTAGATATATGTGGTTCTTCAATTTTTTTACATTTAAGCTCCTTATATTTATTTGAATTTGTACATTTTTTAGATTCATAATAACAATCATTGTCGTCCAATTTATTTTTAAATTCTTTTTTATAGTAGCGATGAATTATTTGTTTATTTGGAAAAGCTTGGATGTTAACAGAAGAACTTTCGGAAATTTGACAGTTCAGTCTCACGTTTTTGACTCGGTTTTTTGGTTGTCTGACCGAATTTTCCTTATCCAGTTCATCGCAATTCAAGTCCACAATGCTTCGTATTTTCCCAGAACTTTTTTCTCTAAATGTATTTATCTTACAGCTAATTTCTAATGCTTTTGATTCCGTTTCATCAAAACCGTTATTGTCTGCAAATGGTTTATAATGTTTTTTGTCTACAGGAATTATTTGATTGTAAAGGTATTTGATGTTATTTTGTTCAAAAGATGTTTCGTCATCGCTTATCAATGTCTTCAGTGTTTTAATGACTTCATGTCCTTTTGAATACATTTCAAAATATGATCTTAAATTACTTATTATGCTCAATTCAGTATGGTTGTTTATAAATAAAACAGTGTTTTTAAATGACGACATCGAAGTTATTTGAAAAAACAAGCTTAAAAAATTGCAAATATTTCATCGGCTTATTTCAATAGGAATATTTTCAAATTAGACGTACAAGAAAATCAACTTTAAAATAATGATTGATTAAACTTTGCCCACCCAACTCAAGCAAATAATCAAACAGTTCAAACGTTAGCTCTAAAATTTTTAAAAATCACAATATTCACAACTAAACTCTGAAAAAGAGAATTTATAACTTGTTGCAAACTTAAACTGTTGAAAAATATGCCGAAATAAGATATTTAAAATTGGAATTACATATTCATCCGATCAATATTTCATAACATGATATTGAACAGCAATTAAAAATATAGTTAAATTTCAGTGGATTTTTATGAAAAACTTTCACCCACATTTTTACGAAAGTATATAGGTATACATTCTCACCATATTTTTTTCTACCACCAAAATAGTTCATGTCATTTTTATTGCTTGGTTGAAGGGAATAGGAGAGGAGAGTTCGTAAGATTTATGTACGAAAGAGTGTTTTAGGGTTGTGCCTATAAATCACAACGATGGCTAATATTAATTTCAGTTGACATTAGACAAAATATTTATTCAGAACAAACGCCAAAAAAGTTTCTATTTTTTTTACTTTCGCTGTTTGTGTCATTGCATAATACTAAAAATTCGGAAGATCAACAAACAAAAATAAACACAATTGAGAAAAATTAAAATTTTTTCATAAGGATAACAACATTTCTTTTTATTATTAAAACTCCCAATATAAAACACCAAAAGTAATTTTCATAAGTAAATAATTAATTAGTTGATTTAAAATTTAAAAAAATATGGCCATTACTTAATCTGACAACTTTTGCAAATGGCCGGTCACAAATCTCCCAAAAAACGTAAAACTCTTTCAAAAAATATCAGGTCATCAAAAAATTGCGCCCACATTCCAGTGAACAACTTGAACGACAGAACAGTGAGTTTGACGCCTTACAACCGCTACTTCTACAGGCAACTGCAACTACCTACCATCCCATTCAATGACGTCATCGTCAATTCAGAAATGACCGGGCGCCCTGCCATTGAGTACAGTGAAGACTCTGTCAGTCGAGATTCTTATACCATGCATCTATCCAAAAATGACATCAACATAGACAAAATTTTAAAATATGCTAAAAAAATTAAAGGAATGAAACGTAAAATTAAAAAAGATAAACTGTTCAACAGTAATCTCCAAAAACGAAAAAAACACAAAAAGATTCCTAATTCTTATTTCCAGGAGCATCAGGAAAACATATCATCCAATCAACATCGCAGCCGCCTTCGTCGACGTCTTTTCCAGAGCATTCACGACAAATTTAATAGAAAAGACTTGACAACGAGTGAATCAGTTGATGATATCGAACAGTCATTCAACACGCCAAACTCAATTTCCTGGTTATGTGAACTAGCTCAAAACTCCAAAATTGCAAGCAACAGTCTCAAGCCGGCAAAGTCTAATCATTCTGACTTAGCACCAAATTACCAGAACACAAAATATCTCAAAAAAGGTTATTTTAAAAATAAATTTGATGAATATGAAATTCTTCCATATAGAAAAGAAGATCAGTCAAAAAGGAACAAACAAAATGCACTGAGGAAACTTTTCGGAGACGAAAATATAAATTATGGCGATGGGAAATATGAAAAGATAAGCAAAATTATTAAGAAAAATCATAAAGAGGGATCGAAGATGGGAAAAATTTTGCAACAGAGTAAACATCGCAAACGTGTTGACGACCTCAAAAATGTGGAAGTTAAGCAGAAACAAAGTTCATCCCACCATGATCAATCAGTAAGAAGAAGGCAAGCATGCCACAACGAGTGTTTATTGTCGTTTAATATATTTGCCGTTCTACTCAACTTTATAGTACAAATATTTTTTGGTTTCACGTCGGTCTTTCGGAAATCAGAATCATATCCAGGAAGTAGGCATTGAATTTATGAATTTTATATAATCAAAATGTGTTTTTTTTATTAATAATGGAAGCGTGTTATTAAAGTAGTACAACTTGTGAACTTGTGACGTAACGGAACAATAACATGTTTATAAACATTCGTTAAAGTAGAGTGAAAATAATTTTTTATTACCTTTATAACTACAACGTGATGCGATTTTTTATAAGCGCGTAAAATTCAATTCATATTTTCATAACAAATAAAAACCGTTAGTGAAGTTAAAATTAATGAATCATTTTCAAAGATATAAATCCGAAAGAGAGCACAAGTTCAAACTCCAAACTGAAAATGGAACCGATATATAAAAATATTAAACCAAGAAAATCGAATTTAAAACCGTGTTATCAATCATCGTTTGGCAAATAACGTTGCCGAAGTTTGATCGAAACAACGACTTCATATCATGACTCGATCATCAAAGAATGCCATAAAAAATAAGAAAACAAAAAAATTATATTCGTTACATCGTAACTGTCAGCTATCCAGATCGTGTAACAATAATATTTGCCGTCATCGTTTTCGTTATCCTCGAAAATTTCATCCGTCTCCATCATCAACAGACTGTTGCAAACAATTTTTCTTCATACCTTCTTGCCACTGTTTTGATCATTCAAAAAACACTTCTTTGAAATATTATTGTCGTAACAATTCAAAGAGAATTGTCTCAAATGTTAGAAGCGCAAGAAGACGCGCTCGTGAGATGCAGTTTGATAAAGGCTATGAAGCAACACTGTCAGACGAACAAAGCCAAGTCATCGAACATTCAAAAAACGAACGTTTACGTACTAGAAAAAAGAAAAATGTGCAAGACAAAGCGGAAAAAAGAAATAGTTATTTAGGAGAGAAGCAGCAGACTCGACAACTTTACAAACCAGCATCCCTCAATGATAAGCTCTCTCTCAAAACGGCCAGCCAACTATGCTCTCGAATTCCTGATTTAATTTTATTCGTATTATCAACATTTTGGAAAATATTTATAAATTTTATATATTTTATATTTGTTATTAACCAGCAAAATATAAAAAGTAATGTTCGAAAATTACCAAACAAACCATATGCAAATGTTAATTCAGAATCTAATTTGGGAACACGACAAGAGCCTAACAACATGCTTACTGGTAAGCACTTTTTGAATTCACCGCACAATATCGATCGCACGTTAAATTTCCAACAACGCACCAACAGTGGTCATAATATTGGTCGCCAAATAAAACATAGAAGGTATCATCTGAATTCTCAAAAAGGAGTTCCTGAGAGCCATGTGAATGAAAAATACATTGGCTACGATAATCGAGAAGCCGTTTGTAACGTCTGCTATCAATTCTGCGTCACACCCCCAACGTTTTTGTGCAACAATCCTGCTCACTATGAGTTTCAGCTACCAGTTAACAACTTTTCTTCGCTCCAGTCTGCTTTAACATTAGAACGCCAACATGAATGTCATTCCGAAATGACGAATGTCGTACAAAACCATGAAACAACCGAAAAAGAAAATAATTTTCCAAAACGACCCATCAAACATAATTTGAATAAACAATTTCAAATGTGTGAAAATAAAATATCTCCTAGCAAACGCAAAAGCATTGAAAATTTTTTATGTTCACTAACTCGAAAAAGGAGGGAATCGTACGATAGTATTTGTAATGAACATTTGAACATCTGCAGAAACCGTGAAAAAAATGAAGATAATAAAAAACGTACAAATGAAATTGATTGCAATAAAGAGTCTAAAAATGTTGAAACAACATTAAACCAAGTTGAGGTTGAAGATAAAATAAAAAAAATACCACTCATTAGTTACGTTGAAACTATCAAGGCACCTGAAAAGACCAAGAAAAATTGTAATACAAAAACAGAAGCACAAAACCCGAAAAAAAATGATTGTGTAAAACCAGATTTTAATCAATATGCTGGGACTAATATAGATTCGGCAATACACTCTGTGAAAAATAAGAAATTATCCGCCTATAAAAACAGAGGAAGAAACAACAGCCGCTGTAGAAAAGGGCGACCTAGCAGAAGACATCTTGATAGAAGCACTGGAGTTAATAAAAACAAACATTCAGAATCAAATTTTGAGGCAGAAAAGTGCAAAGAGCAATTAGAAATAAAAAGTTCAACTAGAAAAATCGGACGTCACAAAAGTTGTTTGTCAAACAAATGTCAACAACCTGATTGTGTAATAAAAATGTCTACACCAAAATGCACAAAGACTGTTAAACGGCCTGCTAAATCAAATGAAATGATGCCAAAATTTTATAGCGAACAAGTACTGACTGAAAATCAACGACATCTGCTTCATTTGCCAACAAAATCTCAAAAACGAGACAATAATCACATCAAACAAAAAATGTTATCTAATTCATTAACAATTCAATCGTCCTCACCTGACATAATTGAAAGGGTAGGATTTTCTGATCTTCTGATTTTCAGCATCGACAAAACATCCCACATTAAAAAAGCCAATTCATCAAATGAACAAATTCCAAATAAATATTTTCCTGATGATGAACATTTTGAAAATATTCAAACGAATTATTTTATCGAAGATAAAAATGACAGACCAAAAAAAGTTGTTCAAAAATTGTCAACGTTTTCAAACAAAACTATAAAAAAATCAAGCAATTCTTGGGTAGACAAAATGTCGCACAATTTAACAAGATCAATCTCTTCCAATGTTTCATCTCATCAATCTTTTTTACAACTAGCAAACTGTCAGAACGATAGTTCCCTGGATGGAGTAAATGTTGAAGCACGCGAATCCAAATTAAACGAAATTTTTAGGAGATCAAAACAACAACTCACATGCACGAATATAACGTCTCAAATTCAGCAACAAAAAAAACGATGTAAGAAAATTCTCCAAACATGTGCTGTCCAACCTGCTCTTGCAATCAACCAACAAAATGAAGATTGTTGTGAAAATGCTATGGATCAGAAATTATTGATCGATAGAAATATATCGACAGTTTCAAAACTAAAATTAAAAGCAACTTCACCTGTCTTGATTTCAGCAGCAAGTTCAATAACAATAAAGTTGGCAGAATCTGTGAAACCTATGCAAGATGCAAGTGATCAGGGAAATATTTCACCCACACCCTTGATTGTTGATGTCTGCGAGAAGAAAACTGAAGATTTACATGAACAACTTCTGAGCGTACGTAACGCACAACCATTAAAAACTGACATCAAAAATTCTGAAAAAATAAAAAAAGATTGCCTAAGCAATTTCTTTTCAGAAAATAATATAACAAATAAAAAATCAGGGTCGGTGAATAGTTTGAAGTTGTTGATGAGTGATGACATCAAAAAACTCCGAGAAGAAGAAAAATTTCAACAAAATTTTTTATCCTATCGACAACAACGATTGCAATATCATCGAGAACAGCAGGAACATTTACTTAACCATCAGCAATATCAGATGCTAGAAAAACAATGTAATGAGCAACAAGAGTGTCAACAAACACAACAACGACAACATCAACAGCACCAACAACATCAAAATGAAGAACAAGAAAGAAAACAAGAACAATGTGAGGAGGTACAACAGAAACAACTGCGAGACCAGAAACAGAAGCGAGAACAACTAGAAAAACAACTAAATGCAGGACAACAACAACAACAACTGCTTACTACTTTTTTAAAACATCAACAGCATCAACATCAAACACTGCCACATCAAAATTATTCTTTTTCAACAAATCTATGTCATCTAAAACAGCAGAATCCTCTACGAAAACAAACACAAAAAAAGCAACAACATTGTTTACAACAACAACAACAACCACAACATTTTCAAAAACATCAACATGATGAACAACTTCAACAACAAAATTTTCAGAAACGACAATGTCAGCAACAACGTCAAGAGCAGCAACGTTCTCAACAGCAACAACATTATTATCAACAAAAACATGAATTGGAACATCACCAACGGTTTCAACATCCGGAAACTGACAAAAAATTAAAATCTCGTTTTAATCACGAAACATTCGACAGAAGTCAGTCGTTTTGTCATACTGGAAATTATCATGATGAGCAATCTAAATTTTTTCAGCCACCCAACGAACGTCAAACAAGACATTTTTATGAAGAGTCGAAAAATGATTCTCTTGAAATTAATCCTGTTAAGAGGAACCAGGACAGAAAAACGAATCCGTCTAATTGCCATAGAGAGAAAGAGTTGCAGCAACAATTTGAGAATTTGCAGCTCATTCAAAAACAACAATTTGATCAAATATTGCAAAATCAGTTTGGCCCCAGCAGTACATCATTACAAAATGTTTCAACTTCACATTTAGATTTAAAGCAAAGAAAACGACCAAATTATCAGAACCAATTTCCCGTGTCTTTAATGTCAAACACTGACAACATTACAAACAAAGTCATCAATCCTTCAGAAGTGTGTTTTCCGGGGCACGCGTGTTTGCAAAGAAGCCCAAGTAGCGTTGTATGTCACAACCGCAAGCAGTTCGATATTTGTTCAAATTCAAATCTGACATCGCCTAGTCTCTACCAGATAAACCACAAAACTAAACACATAGCGCACGAAAGAACGCTTCAATACCTTACAAATAATATTAACTGCCTAACATCTGATAATGAGCAGATTAAAAATTCTGTAAAGTCTACAGACGAAATATCAAAAAAATTTTCAGAAACTCCAAAAAACCAGACGACATCTTTCAGATTCTCGCCAGTCGTGTCAACAACATTGATCACATCGGCCTCACCCACTTCTTTAATAACTACAACGCTTCTATCGTCTCTTCCTCCTAAGAATGAAAAATCACAACATTCAACAAAACTGAAGAGAAAGATGTTGGAGAAAATATGCAAAATCGCATTAAGTCCCTTGCTGGAGATAGATGATGACAGCCGGAAATATGATAGCGACAATAGGATAAACGATGATACAGATTAAACTGAACATAAAAGAGTTCCATTCTAAGTGACACACTTCCATCTTCTAATTAAAAAATTAAGATATTAAACAATTTTTTCAAACATTGTTGCGAAGTACCAAATAATTACTTCACAAAAATAGCATCTGCTGCAATTATTTTCGCAACAAAATTTTTTTTATGCAGATGTTAAACCTAAAACATGGAATTCAATAAATTTCTATCTATATAAATGCTGTATTCTTCATTGTGTATGAATATAAAATATTTGCTGTTTGAATGCACGTAATGACGTATCTGTTGAACCAATAATATTTACAATAAAAATAAAACAATTCATCTGTTTAAATCTTAATTTTATAATTTTTCAAACGTATTAAAAAGATTTCAAGGAAAAATAAATGATCAATAAAACTTGTCGGTGAGTTATATTTACGTTTAAAATGATATTTGCGTTATGAAAAAATTTCACCAGTTAACGAACCGGGTGGCTCGTTTTGAACGTACGAAGCTAACATGACTGTTATTCATTCATTGTTGATTAAATTTGTTACAGCTCTATGCAATCTCCTAGCATTCAGTTGAGCTCCAACACACCTTCCAATGCTAACAGGGACGATTCACTTTCGGGGAACACGTTAAAATTCGGATCAAGGCATTTTTCCAGTAAATGTTGGACCAGCGGTTCGGAAGATCAGTATAGAGGATGCTGCAGCCAAACAATCACACAAAGCATGAAGAGCTTCGTATCTGAAAGATATAATGAAAATTATTACAATGATTGTTACAAAAGTTTTAGTTGCAGTGACGTAAGCAGTGGCGCGCAGCAGATAACAATTTCACTGAGAAGAAATAACCAAATTTATAAATGTATCGTTCCATTGGAGGCACTTGTCAAAATTTTCGAAAAAGTAATTTTTTGAATATTGTAAGAAATCAATCAATTAGCATATTTTGAAAATCTTAAATCAATTAAAATTGCAAATAATCAATTGATCAGTTAACGATTTATACTGTTCCAGCAATATTTACAAGAGATGCAGCCGCAGTTAATACATAACTTCAACACGTCTGAAAAAAAATTTCACTATGCTGAAAGTAGTGTCGAGGAAGTTGAAACTACAGAAACATTCAAAAATAAACAACATAGAGAAAAATTTAACCAAAATGGAAAATGTAAAACAAAGTCATCGACATTTCGTGCAAAAAATTCTTATAGTAAAAAAACAAGCGGCAAGAATGATTTTAGCAAATTAAATAAGAATGCTAGCAAGTGCAACGCCAGCTATAAAGTGTTCTGTTCGCAACACGGTACTGTTTGTAATCATATAAATAAAAATACATTTTATTTTATGAATAAATAATTATATTTATATAAAACAAGAAAAAATCGATCTACTAACAAATTTTAAAAATTTAATTGAACGCAAATTTTTTTCACCAGGTCACCACTCAATCGCTCGAAATTTCAACACTGCAGGCTGCACTTATCACTCACTGCAAAAAAAACAGAACCATTTTCTTCATGATTACAATTGTTATTACGATAAATTAAACGCATTCGAATATATATGGACCAATTTTAAAAGGTTGATAAATTCACTGACAAATTCAAGTCTTTTTTATGAGAAGAAAAATGCTGTTAGAAGAAGAGAGATCAGACAAAAGAATTCGCCAGAGCAAGAGCATTCAATTTTGTTATCAAATAAAATAAGCGAAACTCCAAAAAAGTCAATTAAATCTCGTCAAATTCTCTCGGCTCCAAATTTATATTGTGATTCTCAACGTGTAGAACAGAAGAAGAAATCAATGAATAAAGATAAACTGCATGAAAACACCGAGAGAAACAAAAGAAACGGCAGGTCAATAACATTTGAAAAAGATTCATTGGTAATTATCAACGTTGAACAAGATAACGGTAATAAAAAACCTAATGAAGAAGAAGAAATAAAAAACCACTGGGAATCAACGTATGAGGAAGAGCAAGATGATGGCAATCTCTTTCCAAAAATATCACAACCCACATCTGAACCATTGAAACGTTTTTCCTACAAACGACAACCATCAAATCCTCGTACAAGTTCAGCGCAGAATAAATTACTAAAAGATAAACTATTGCTTGCAAAACCAAATAACTCAGTAGATGATGTGGTTAGGAAAAAACAAAAATTGAATTTAAATGAGTCACCATTAATAAATGAAGAGGGTAGGAAAAAAGATCTGACAAAAAATGAAAATAGCTTATTGCTTTCTGAGAGTGATCACGCAAGAGAACCTGAAAAACCATCATTAATTTTGAACGTTAAAGACCATCAAACACCAACTGAAAAACTGTCCACGCCAAACTCTTTTTCAAACTCTAAATTAACAGGAAAATCGCCATCAGACGAAGAATTTGATTTAGATGAAATGAAAAAACTATCAACAGTTGACGAGAGTACTGAATTAAAAAATTACAAAAAAAAATGGCAAATATCAAACGATGATAGTTTGAATTCGTTCACATTATTGGAACCAAAGGTAAATGTTCCATATTCAAGACACAACCACGAAAATGGTACAACTAAAAAGGACTCACTTGGCTCGTCTAAAATTTTGAATTTTGTCAAAACGATAAATAGCCCAACAAGAAATCACCCTTCTATTGACTCAAGCAGAAGTAAACAACATTCGCAAATTTTACCACCACCTTCTTCTTTGGACACATTGTCGAGTTCCCTTAAAACGCATTATTTCTACCCCACTCACACGAAGGGCAGTGTTATTTTGCATCAGCACAGTAGAACGTATAAGCATCTTTTAGAACATACAAATAATACATTCGTCGATGATATGATAAATAACAAAGATGTATCGATTCCTACTTTGCCTGAGCAAAAAGAGAGCAATTATATTGGGAATGTTATAGATAAAGAGGAATCAATAAAAAATAAGGAAAATAAACAAATATTCAATGACAGTTCTAACGCATCCACAAATTTTAAGCCATGCGAAACGATAAAATTTGTTAAGAAAAGCTACAATACTTGCCATCAACTTTCAAAAAATCTGCCAAAAACCAAGAGCAAAATGAATTTTGATAAAAATGATTCGCCTCTCCTCAAACCTGATTCAAAAAGAAATAAAAACGCAGACAATCGGACAAAGCAGTCAAAAAAAATTACAAGTAGTCCGTTCAAGAAAAAAGCAAATTTAATAAGCGTAACAAAAAACGAATCGTTAAAACATGTTAAAAAACATTTAACGATTTGTGATAAAACGCTACCATCATTTTTAAATAAAAAAAATTTTAAATTAAATTTTAAAAATGAACGTAAATTCCACAGCGTCAAAGTAGGAAACCAACGGATAATGAGCAACAGCATAGGGACTGATCTGAAATTCAAAACTGCTACGGAAATTTCAGAACAATTAAAAGCAGTGACAAAAAACATCAATAAAACTGATTCCAAACGTCAATTGATGATATCAAAAAGTTGTAGTGATAAAGTTGTTTGTAAAAATTTGGTGGCAGCTACCAAGGAGGAAGAAGATCTTCTTGTACCAGCGGATGTGTCATTTGCTGCTACATAAGTGCATCGAAAATCTGAGTTGTAACGAATAAACCATTAGATAAGCGTATTTATAAACGTAAAACGCTATATATGTATATCAATAAAAATAACAAACATTATATATGAAACAACTGACGTTTAATGGTTACAAATATTTTATATTTTCATTTTAATAAAGCTTTTCTTAATTTTGAAATTGGAAAATGTTATTATTTTGTTTGCGTCATTGTTTACATTTTTATAAATTTTGTAACACCAAAGTAAATTGACAACTAAATAAAAATATATTTTGAACAAATAAACAAACAAACATACAAACATTTCGTAAAATATATCTTACAATATTATTGAAACAAGCAAGGCTAAAGATTTATGAAACGCACAACAAATTGAATAATTTAAATGGAATAATATCTGTCTGAGCAACAATTAGCAAACGAAACTTTTTAGAAGTATAACTGTTAAATTCTTATACTTAATAATACGTAGTAATGGCTAAATAATTTGTAAAAGCTGTAGAAGCAAATTTGAATAAAAATTTTACGCGAATGAATGCAAACTGCCAACCCCTTTGCTGTTGCATGCCACAGTACTGTGCTGTTTTCTGCCAACAAGCTTGTCCAAAACCGCAACAGCAATGCCAGTTAAAGCAAAAAACTTTCCCGAGCAAACAGCCGACCAACGTACAAACGCAGCAACAAAACAGTGCCCCACCACAAACAAATTATCAAAATGGACAACAAATTAATGGTCAGCAGCAAATTTATAATCAGCAACAAAGATGCTCACAAGCACAACAACAATCGTATTTCCAATCTAGGCAACAAAACAATTGTCAACTACAACAATGCGGACCTATGCAGAACTATCCGCAAACGCGTTTCATGTGCCAGCAAAATATTGTTTCTGAACGACCGATGCAATCTCAGTGTTTAAATGAGATGAGTGAACTTCCAAAACCGCAAGGTACTCAACAGAATGATCCTAGCAACAACCCAGTTAACCACTTTGCTGAATCGCATGCAAAACTAGAAAAATGCATTAAACTGTGCCTCGACAAATGTCATTCGATTCAAATGAAACACCATCAACAAGTGTCAAGTTTTTACGAAAAAAGTTACAATCCTGCAAAAACAGAGTGTATTCCGAAACAACAAGACGCTTGCTTTTCTCAAACGCCATGCCCAGACAAACAAAGAACATCATATCTTGACAGGTGCTCTCCCAACGAATTGCAGTCTCCACAAATTCAACAAAATCATCAAAACTGCAATGAAGGATGGAAACACGGCACGAACAACCAGCCTACATCTGACGCTTCGCCAATCAACACATTGAATTTCATTGATCAGTGTCAGCCAACTTCGAACGTTACAGATGATTTCAAAAGTTACCAAAAGTGCAATAAAAACGCTACCTCATTAAAAAAACCTACTATAAATTACAATGAGGAATTTTTGAAATGTCAGCAAAAGTTCAAATCTTTAAACAAAGAATTAATTAATCCATCAAGCATCGTCGTCCGCAAAGGGTCGCCAAAATTATCAAATCAGTTTAAGAGTCAATTATGCAAAGAAGAGCCAAATAATGAACCAATGTTTAAAAATTGCTCACATTTTAAATCTATTTGGGATTCAGAAAGATATCCAGCCATTGCACAAACCCCGTTCGGACAAACGAATGTTATAAAAAAATCAATTGAAAATAACGATCCATCCACTCCTCGAAGACGTTTCGACCACGTTGCCGAAAGTGTTAATCCATGCTCAGAATATATACAAGCAGTGTGCAACTGTTTGAAACAAAATTTCAGTGGCTCAATAAACGAAGCTAAGCTTTCCGTAAGTGATAACCAACGCAAACGTTCAAAAAAAGAGCGAAAAAGAAAGGATTGTCTGAGAATTAAAATAACGGGAAAAAATTCGTCCGAGGAAAATATGTTGTTTCAAATACCAGTAAATGTTTTTGAGAAAGGAATAGAATTTATGAATAACTGTCCTGTTCAACCATTTTTAAAACATAACAAAACTAAACTCAGTGAAGACAGATTACACCGCAAAAGAAGCAAGTCTATTAGTGAAAAAAAATCAAAATCATCTGACACAAGCAATAATCAGTCAATAAAAATAAATAATCGAGAAGCGCTACAAAACTTTCGCAACGGAAATGTGTTGATGTTCTTCTTTTTCATTTGGCAATTTATATGCGATATGTTTCATAGATTGAGGTGTAGCAACGTAAAAAATAACGTTAGGAGATACGGCAACAAAAAACATTCAAAAGAATCAAAGCCTTCAATTGATCAGCAGCGGCAGCACGTTGAAAAGATGCAGTCGGGCAAACAAAACAAAAGAACATCGGACGGCACTTTGGAATTTGGTTCACGAAGGCCTACGAAGTCATCCAATAAGAGTCGCAAGTCAAAGTCCATCAACGAAGAATGCGATGACTCATCAGACGGCAGCTTATGTCACTTTAAAAGTAACTGCCCCCAATTCGAATGGTCTTCAGAAAGCAATATTAAAAGGCGAAACGGTTATAATAATTATTCTAAAAAAAACAATACATCTGTTAAAACTAAAAAGAATAATTTTATCAAAAACAGTTGCCAAGGATTTGCCCAAATAGATTTTCAGCAATTGCAGGAAAAATACAAGTTAACTTCAAATTACAATCGCGACAACTATAGAGACATGATAAACGACGATTTCATCTGTAGAGTGTGCTCTGGAATGATTAGGGCCAGAGATATTCATACGGAAACAATATCAACTGTTAACAACTCACCCGAAAGCAAGATAAATTCAAAATATGATAGCAAATGTGAAGAATTTGAAAAAAAATCTTCGACAAAGCGCTCTTCCAATTCAGTAAACCAATTAGAAAAAACAAGTAACGAAAATATCAGAGAACCTAGAAAAGAAAATTCATTCGAAGAAAAATTGGATAACGAGAAAAATGAAAAAAAAAGTAATGACGTTGATTCAATAAAAAAAACAAATTCTACTGATGAAAATATTTTTGAAGATAGCTATGAATCGAACCAAGAAAATAAACGAAAAAGTAATTTTGTTAAACAAAGATATGAAAAAAATTTTGAACAAAGTAACGAATTGCAAAATAAAGTAAAAAAAAAATCATCAGAAGAGGAAATAGGAAAAAAAATATCGAACCGACTCTCATCGGAATCAAAAACCACAAATGAGAAACGTTTCAAAAAAATGAAGTCGCAAGATGACACCAGCGAGCAGAAGAAAAAGAAACCAACAAACGTCACAGAAGTACGCGGTAAAAAGTCTATAGCACCTATAAAAACCAGTGACAATAATGGAATTTTTAGCAAAGAACAAAAACAATATTTTTCTAAACTGTATGAACAAACTATCAGGGAGTCGAGAAAACAGGAGAGTGAAAAACCCGAAAATACTTCTAATACTGATCACAATAAATCTTTTGAAACCGCTAAACAAAAGGCAAGTGATGAGAAAAATAACACAAAAAACGAATCAATGACAAACAGTAGAGATGAAGCAAAAGACTCAAGAAATATTCAAAAAGTTTCTTCCTCAGACCAGAAACAGTACCAAGAAGTAAATAAAGAGGATTACGCTAACTCGCCAACCACAAAAAGAGAGAGTGATAAATCAAGTAAAAGTGAACGGAATACAAAAAATGAAGAAACAAATAAAGTAAAAAATCAGTCACAAGATGAATCAATCACTGATCAAAAAGTTCTAGAGAATAATCCTATTAAAAATGAAAATTCTGTCCAGCCCACCGAGACAGATAAATTAGCAAGTTTGAAAAATGACGAAGTGTTTGAGGCGAAGAAAGAATCAAATGACATAAAAACATCAAGCGATGAGCTCTACTTAAGACGAACTAATTCTATAAAGAAGAAAAAAGGCATGGCGCCAAGGGACAAAGAAAATCCTTCCACCGTTTTGAAAAACTTGAACAAGAAATCTTCCGAACAAGTTAATAACAAATCAAACGAAGAAAACAAAGAGCAGAAAACCAATAGCGGTGAGACAAGAAGAAGTAGTGCTGAAGCAAAAAAAGATAGTGGTGAAATAAGAAAGAGCAGTGAAATGAAGAAGACTAGCATTGCTTTCAAATTGGCAGAAAAATTTGACGAAAGTTCTTCCGATATAAATGCTGTTGAAAGCCAGTCAAAGGTTGAAAAAAACAGCATCGGTGGGCCAAGTAGGCAGGCGATGAAACCAGCCAGCAGGAACACAAGTCTCAATCATTGACCATTTCCCATCCTTTTGTTTACACCTGTGATATTAATTTCATTAGAAACTTCTCAATTAAAATATTTTTAAATTATCCATTTATGTTTGTGTACATTTATTAAAATTTGAAAGATTTACTAATTAAACAGATGTAAAAAAATATTTTAAACTATTTGGCATATTAAACATTTATGAATAAAAAAAAAATGAAAAAAGTTTTAATTGAAGAGCGTGATGTAGAAAATGTTATTTTTGAACTCAAATACATTAATAATAACTCTAATAATAATAATGCTAATAATAATGAAAATAATAGTAATAATGAAAATACCGGTTATGCCTATAAGGATGTATAATTTTTTGCAAGTAAAACCAATAATTTATTATTATTAAGCATGCAGAGGCACGACAGAGCTTTCAATTCTCTTCTTCACCGTTCGAAACGACGCACTCTTCTATTCATCAGAGATTACATTCTCTCACAGTATCACTCATGAAATGCTCCTATGCAAATATGCCTTAATTAGCACAACATGCCAAGTGTGCCTGAGTTTGAGTAGTATGATCGTGGTGTCTGCTTGTGTGTGTGTGCGTGTGTGCGTATGTACGAGCCCATGGTTAAAAAAGACAGTCATAAAAACAATCATTTTGCCTCAACTCGCTTATTAATGTTAGTTAATGGGTCTTCGCACAGTGTGTATAATATATGCTGCGTGTATGTGTGTGTGCTTTTCATTTTTTAACAAAAAGATGAGCTGTTAATGAGCAAACAGCTAGAAACTTTAAGGCAACTAACAGGAGCTATCAATAAAAACGAAAAAATTTTAAAACTTCATGTAAATTATTAACAACGCACTATCTTATCTGTTAGACTTGCCACTTATGAAACCATTCTCTTTGCTTGAATGCGGATGAGAGCCAATGTCCAGTCAATGTCCAGTCCACACATCTATCCGCTGGTGAAACTGTCGAACGAAATATCTATCGTGTGTCTGTGTGTATGTGAGTGTGTGTGTGGCATGTGTGTGTGTGTGTGTTTGGCATGTGTGTGTGTGTGTTTCTATTTGTGTATAGCTATACAATTGTTCATTTGCTAAAATATCAAACCATATTAAACCTAAGGCAAAATTCATTCTTTGTTTGCACCATATGTTTGCATGTATGTGTATAAAAGTATAAATGTGTTTTGTGTGTGTTTGATTATTAGTGTGTGTGTGTGTGTGTGTGTGTGTGTGTGTGTGTGTGTGTATGACTGTGTGTGTGTGTGTGTGTGTGTGTGTGTGTGTGTGTGTGAATTATGAGTGATGAGTGATGGTTTGCATTGCATGACTGATAATTTCCTAAGCAGAATTCTGATTGAAAGTGCTTAGCGAATTTGAAACAACGCATCCATTGTTAACGTTATTGTATTATTTCAGTTATTTTATTCGCACTCTTAATAATAATTTATTTCGATATTGTTATTTATTTTATGATATTTATTTTAGCATTTTTAATAGAACTCTCTATAACGTTTACTACAGTATATTTGTAATTTGCACCGTCCTTACAATGATCAAATAATTGATAAATTGATTGACAGTTTGAATGGTTAATTAATCAATCGATTGATCAATTAATAAAATGATTAATTTTTTAATTCATTGATTGATTGTATAATTGATTGGCCGATTGATTGAGTGAATAAAAACTAGAAAACTTTATTTGAAACTTCAAGCACTCTTCTAAACCTAACAGACTCTCAGTAATAAAATAATAAATAACATTGAAATGAATAATCACAACCGCAACAAACGCATTAAGTATCTTTCGCGCCAAATTGTTTGCCTTAATGAAAAGTGACGAGGGAAACAACAAAATTAGTTTAGCAATTTAAGCACGCTAGATAGATGTTAATTTCTCATATAGTTCTTTGTTTGTTGCAGGGCCTTTCATTCGAATAGCTCATTCAGTCATTCACTCTGCTAATTGCGTGTGAAGAATTCTTAAACAATGGCGTCTTGCTGAAGCGGTTGTCATTTTAAAAGTGATTCGAAATACGAAAACATTCCTGCTAGCGTAAGTAATAAATTTTTTCGGAGTTGTGTTCCTTTGTGAATGCTTAAGCAGTAGTTTTTTTTAAAGACTTTGTCATCATTTTAAAGATATTTTTAGAAAAATCATGAGAATATAATCCATCATCTATGTCATTCCTGCAATCTTGATCATCGTCATTATCATCATTATCATCATCATTATCAGCATCATCAATATCGTCATTATCACCACATCATCATCAACATCATCATTATCACCACCATCACCATCATCATTGCTAACATTTTCAAAGGGTCTAGTAGCAAGAAGAAGTGTTTTCAAAAAATTAATAATGTTAATAAAGTTTTGAAAAAATGTACAATCGACAACCTCAACAAAACACGAACAACATCAACTAAGACATCAACAATTTTGGCAGAAACACCAGCAACACCAACACTAACACTAACAACAAAACATCCATAACATCAACATTGACAAC